ACGCAGTCAGTGGAGCGCCTTCTGTCGCGCACAGGCAGGGGAGCCATGGGTACTTTTTAAGCTACCCTGGAAGATACAGAAGGACAAAAATAATTCAGTCATATCTTCATGACTCATGGAGTGTAAATCAATAATTAGGAAGGATAGACTGTGATAGGAAATGGCAAGTGTGATCATAGTCTTTACAAACCAAAGCCAAGGCCTGCCTCCTGTGAGCTGTTATGGAGTATGGCTGTGCTGAGTATATTCCATGTGTGTCATTCTCAGACTCTAAGCATGAGACCTACACCAGCCCTGCCTCCGTTTGTTTCACTTTAATTACATGCTGGAGATCTTAATGGATTGTGAGGTAATAAGACATGGAAAGATTGCTGGTTTTGAGGAAAGTATCTTCTAAATAGAGAAGCAGGGTATTCCCCCAGATGCCCAAAGAAGGGCCTTCTTTACTGTTGTTAGAAAATAGTAAAAGAGCAGGGGCTAGAAAGATAACTCAGCAGCTAAAAGCACTGGTTGCTCCTCCAGAGAACCAGGGTTCAATTCCCAATACCCACATGGTAGTTTATACCTGCCTGTAACTCCATTTCTGCAGTATTCAACACCCCCAAACAAACATATATGCAGGCAAAATACCAATGCATGTAAAAATTTTTAAAGGGGGGGAGAGTGAAAAACACTCATTCTCCCTGTCAAACCACCTTCAAGAGTGCTGGAGTTTCAGCCAATAGAAACAGTTGATGAAAACATTTTGTTTTTCTCCAAAGACTGTTTGGTTTGAGGATTGCAAATTAAATAAAGAAATACTCTTGGTTTTTAGAGACAGGGTTTCATGTTTAACAGAGCCCTGGCTGTCCTGGAGCAGGCTGGCCTGGAACTCACTAACATCCACCTGTCTCTGCCTCCTGAGTGCTGGGATCAAAGGTGTGCGCTGCCTCACCAGTCAGGAAATACTCTTTACTGGGATGCTTGAAAGCAGCAGTCTTGAGTAAAAATTTCGTGGTGCTGTAAATGTCACATGTCTGCGCTCTCCAAGATGGCAGCAGCTAACCAGGCACTTGAATGTGGAGAGTGCAGCAAGGAATGTAAATGTAAATGCTTAATTCTGATTACATAAAGCTTAAACACTTGAATGTGGCTGTTAATCTCATTACACTAAAGGCTTCATGAGTGAATCGTGAGACAGTACAGTGAACACATTAGACAGTAGACGTTTCTTAGCGCTCTCACAGACTTTTTTCCTGTTCTCTTTTCCTATTTGAACTTGTTTTGTTAGTTGGTAAGTATGACACCTGGACTGGCAGAGCATTGGTCATTGTGGAACATCCCCACCCTAACTCATTGCATGCCAGTTGTGTTCATAATACAAGCCTGGTTGTTCTCTGTTGCTCAGGGAACTGGCACTGCACAGTTCCCTCATAGCTCTCGCTGTCAGCTCTTTTGTTCTCCACTCTGCTCACCACTGCATTTCTCCCTTCACAGCAGACAGGCATGCACTGCTAATTCTGTTCCTCCAAACCTCCACTAGAGACACTGCCCTCGGGGTAACGGTGCTGGGAGGGAAGACCTCTCCTCACACTGCAGCACCAGGAAGCTCAGCTACTGCTGCTTGCCGGCTTTTCCCAGCCCGTGCACCTGGTTTCCCGATATGAGCTGTGGGCTTACATTCTCTGAATATTCTGGTCTGTGTCTCTGTGAGCCAGCCCAGATCATTGGGAAAAGTGAACTTGAGCAAAATACTTCCTGCTTTATTTTATAGGCCATCCTCATCTCGGTTAGAAAGGAGATGTTGGAGAAGATACTTTGAGCAGGCAGTACACGGGTATGAATGACAGGAGTTTCCCTTAGAAATGTGTGTATGTCCCTAAGCATAATTATACTGTTTGGTCTTTAAAAGTGCTTTGAAGAATTCCTTGGGGGGATATATTTTTAAGATATCTCAGTAGGATCTATATTCCTTATCGAACATTTTTGTTTTTCTTTTACAAATATGTATACCTTCAGATTTAAGCGTGAGTATTTCATTACATAGAAATACTAGCATAATTTTCCCAAGCCCAAAGTATCAGGCTCTGGGAAAACTGCCTATAAATGACACAGGATTTTCCTATCTGGATTTGTTTTGCTTCTTTTAAAAATCTGTGTCTGCTAATTCTACTGTTAACTGTAAACATCTCAGCTAATGAACATAAAAGCGTATGTCTGACAGACTTTGAGGTCAGTTTGTCTTTTCTGACTAGCTTTCAAATGAAAATTCCTGTATTTTTTCATCTCCCAAGAATTTGTCTGCTCCTTCTACAGCCTCCTTAAGTACCTAGCATGGTCTGCTAAGGACCTTCCTGTTAGGAGGCGAGCATGTGGTGGTGTTTCGGACCCTCTCTGGCTGTCAGTGATAAGGCTGGTCTTCCTTCTCATTTCCCGTGCCCTTCCCTGCATGCTGGTGGTACTTTGGATCCCTGTTCTTTCAGGCCCAAGGTTTTACTTCCCGCAGCTTTTTTCCAGGGTGCTGGCTCTGGACACGATGATTGGTTGCTGTCTTTAATCAGATGACATGAACCACCAGCTCACAGGGTTTTGAATACATTAGTAAACATTGGGGAACAAGTCTGGGATTTGCTTTTTTACCTCTAAAGTCCTCCTAAAGGGCTGGGATCCTGCTCCAGATTGCCAGCAGAAAGGTTGTTCCAGTGTGAGAGGCTGAGGAATACTAATGTGCTCACTCTCTCCTACAGGATCCTACCCAGAGATTCCACCCAGTGACGCCCCCACAGCAGCACAGGTAGACGGGGCTGACCTGGCCTCGCCAATGTCTCCTCGTACTAGCAAAAGCCGCATGTCCATGAAGCTGCGTCGGTCCTCTGGCTCAGCCAATAAATCCTAAGGAGACAAACAGCCCAGCAGTGATCAGCAGTAGCCACCCTGATCAGCAGTGGTGTTAACTCTTTCAGGCCTTATGTTTGCCATAATATTCATGTTCCTTTCTGTACATTTATTTGAGAAAACACTGGACTTAAAGTAATGTTCAACTAAATATTTGGACTATTTATTTAGTTCAGTTTTTTTCCCCACACTCCAAGATGTCATGTGTTGAGGGTCTAGTTTTATTACACACTTCACCTTCCTAGATAATCATGTCTAAGTAGTACTACCTTCGAGTTCATGATTAATGTTAAACCAAAATATAATTGGACAGATAGTCTTGTGTTATTTATTGTGCCTCATTACAACTTCATGATTGAATAAATACAAAGTTGTTACTGTTGTAACTTTTTTGGTAGTACTGGGAATATAAGCCAGCATCCCCAGACAGTGCAAAGCACATTGTCTTGTCCTTTACAGCCAGCCCTACAGGTGTAAGCTGACGTAAGCATTTAGAGAGTTAGGGCAAAGCTGCACATCTCTTTGCACATCGGATGTGTACAGACTGTTAATGTTACCAACAGGATCACTCCAACAGCCCTGCAGCAGTCAGATTCCAACTGAAATTACATGGCTTAACTTTCTTCCCAAGTCAGTGTCTCATTTCTCAGCCGTGCAAATGATGACACAACATATTCAATAACTAGGAAAATCACCGCTGAACTTTGATTTCTGTTTAGCTCCCAAACAACTTGTTCGGCTTTTTTAGGTGGTATCACTGTTAAATGCTATTTCTGTTTCGAGGCAAAGGTCCTTCCTTTATTATTGACCAGCTTATTCTGGTGTGTCTGTGTACTTTCTTAAGTACCAAAAAAAGGTGGTGGAGAGAAGGGTGGAAATTTTTTCTTTTACAAATGTTTCGGTCAAATTATGTGTATTGTTAAAAAAGCAAAGGGAACATGGCCCAGGGTCTAGGTCAAAGCTAACGTTTCAGCACTAAACTGGCTGCGGGTGCAGGGTGGTTCCTGTAGTAGATGAGCCGGCCCTTTGTTTAGCATGGGCATCTCCTAAGGAAATGTAGCATGACTGATACCAACTGCATGTGTATATACATCAGCCTGACAAACCACAGAAGAGTAATTATGTATCATTCATGTAGTGTCTACAGATTTGTAATGAGACAAAAAGATGACATGGTCTTTAATAAAACAAAATAAAAATATTCTTCCCACTTCCCGTCCATGATCGTATTGTCTTTCATGTGTTTTCAGACTTTAAAGCAGCAGGTCTGTGTAGTGCCTCTATGGCATCCTAGCTAATCATGAAAAAGAAACATTCGTAAACATAAATGCGTTCAGTGCGTTATCTCAGAGGGCCTCCCACAGTAGGAGCACAAAGTCCTCCACTTGCTGTGTCTGGCCAGAAACTTGACCAAAATCAGTGTATCCATTCCAGGGCACTTGACTTTTTACATTTTCAGCATTTTTAAATACATTTTCAGGAATAAAACTTGGTACCAAAAATTTCTAAGCAAATTCTTAGAGTTCCTGTGTACTTTTTATGAAAACTCATGCTTATAAATAAAAACAGTCAACTGAGCGGAGAGATCCTGTAGGGGTATGATTAAACAGTGTAGAGTTTCCCACAGCCACCAGGAAGCATTTTTCAAAGGACAATCAAATTTAACTCCTTCCATGTTTCTATTGGGTTGATAATGTTAAGGAGATGGAGCTAAAGTGTTGACTTGAAACAATGAAACCAATTAGCACCATTTATATCATTCCTGTCATCTCCAGGTAGCAGTGTGGAGTAGATTTTCTTAAAAAAGGAATACTCATTCTATTTTCTGTTGTGTTTACTGGGGGGGGGGGGGGTGCAGAGTTAGGAAAAAAAAATAAAAAGCATTCACGTTCTCTCCTCCATGGAGCTGCAGTCTGCAGCTAGACTTCAAAGGAGGAATTCTTACTGGTTTTCAGCACCATTATATTCATTTGCAAGATATAATATCTCCTGCCTTTGTATTCTGTCATAATCGGCCCCTGAGACTCTCAAGTAAAACACTGGTAATGGGGAGGTAAGAAATGTGCCTTTGAAACTACACTGTGTTCAGCCATCTCTTAAGACAGAATAAAACAAGCATAGTCCACGTACATTTATTTGGCGGAACCATCTTACAAATCTGTTTGTCAAACGTCGCTCAGCCAGTGTCCCAGACTCTGGCTCTTGAAGGAATAGATACATAATATACACTGAATATGATTTACAGCAAGAAATTTAAAAGTTGCTCCTGAAAAGAAAATATAAAATATTGAGTGACTTGACATTCAGTTCCATGGTGAATTATAGATAGTAACATCTTCCTTAAGTTGAACAGTTTACGATGAAATATGCAGCAGATTTACAGCATGACCGCTACATAATTTAAATGAAATATTGCTAAAACATTCAAACTTTAGGAGTGATTATAGTATCCCAAAAAAAATGTTGTTTTGAAAAGAAAAATGTTAAGTAGCTCGTCCTGGATGCAGCACGTAAAATAGGTGACATTCAGAGGACACACCAAGCCCTTCCCATTAAGCTGCACCGTCCCCGCCTCTAAACCTAATTTAGAAGAAAGGACTAATGCGTTCAATTGAGGAAAGAAAGTTCCAGCAACACCATCACACCAGACAGCAACATCTGCGAGTTTCCTGTCCATTTACACGGGTCTAAACCTTCCCTGAAAGCTCGGCATCAGTCACCTAGCTTGATTCACAGAATATACGAGGCAAGAAATCTGACCCATTTAAAAAGAAACGGCCTAAGTGAAGTGCCTGTGATAGCAAGAGAAGAAAACGTTGGCGACTACCACTGTAGGTGGGAGCTTGTGTAGACAGACTTGCACGCGTTGACCGCGACTTTCCATAGGAACTACAACCATATAGGATTCATCCACTGGGGTCCCCAGCGTTCTCCAGGACGGGAAATGCTACGGCGGGAGTGGGGACTGAGGACTTGGAGCTGCCAGCTTTGGTCATGAGAACGATTGTACCAGATACATACCTGCTCTAGAGCGGGGTTTTTAGCGCTGCCCTCTCCCCGGGTGGGTCGTGACGGGGCAGGGGTAAGAGGGCCGGCATGGGAAGGGGAGGAAGCTGCAAGACGAAGAGAGCCCCTCGGAGGTTCCCGCATTGGTTTCTCCAGGCCAGGCCTCAGGTCTCAGCAGCCGGGCCTCAGCGGCATCTGCAGCAGCAGCACCTGCCGGCTCTCTGAGGGGTGGCACTTATTGATGTGCCGGGTCAGGCCCGGGGAGCTGAAGAACGTGGACGGGCAGTGCTTGCACGAGAAAATCTGCTGGGCGCCGCCGTCGGGTGCGCCTCCGGGGCCCGCTTCCGGGGGAGCCCCGACCAAGGCGGGCAGCAGCAGCTCCTCGCGGACAGCGTGCCACAGCCGGTGCTTCTCCCGGACGTCGGCGGACGGGCAGTGGGCCCCGCACAGCGGGCACGCGAGGGCGAGCGCGGCCGTGCGCTCCGGGCCGAAGCTCGGGGCTGGAGCGCGGCCCGGGCCCGCCTCGTGGGTGCCCAGGTGCTTGCGCAGATAGGCTTGGCGACGGAACTTTTTGTGGCAGTAAGGGCACACGAAGACCTCGGAGGTCGCCCCCGCGCCGGCGCCGCCCGGCCCGGGCCCGCGGCGCCCGAGCGGCAGCAGCTCCGGGTAGGGGCCGTGCGGCCGCGCGCCGCTGTCCGGGTGCTGAGCGTCGCCGGCGCTGTCCCGCGCCTGCGGGTGCTGAGCGTCGGTCCGCGGCAGGCGGCCGTTCTCCTTGCCCGCCGCCGGGGCAGGCTCCGGGGGGCGCGGCGGCGCGGGGGGCGCGGGACGGGGCTTGTGCCAGCGGCGGTGGGAGGCGAGGTTGGCGGGGCAGCTGAAGACCTTGTCGCACTCGGGGCAGCGGTACTCGACGCGCACGATGCGGGAGCAGCGGTGCTGGGCCAGCGCGAAGGGGTCGGCGTAGCGCTGCTTGCACAGCTGGCAGATGAACTCGCCCAGCGGCGTGCGCTCGCCGCCCGGGGCCCGCGCCGGCGCCCCCGGCTCCTCCTCTTTGATCTTCAGGCCGAGCACCGGGGACGTGGTCACCTCGTCGGCGAAGCTCAGCCTCCTCGCCGCCTTGGGCTTCCTGACGGCCGCGGGCGCCGGGGCGCAGCCCGGGGCGCCCTTGCCGCGGCGCTGGAGGCCGTG